GAATATAATTGAAAAAGGGAAGTTTATAATTCGAATATTTGAACTTCTTAGACAAAAGTAAAACAAATAAATTTAAAAATACTCAAATTAATGTTATTAAAGTTCTTATATTTATATTGGAAGTGGATTAAAAATTGAATCTTTATTATCAAAGAAAAGAAGGAAAAAGATTATTCTGTATTCCAAGTACCTTAACTAAAATTGTTGTTGAATGAAAACAAAAGAATTGGTTAGAAAATTGAAATATGCAATTAATAACACTTTGAAATAATTAGATGGTCAACGTTAAAATATTTAATGATCTCATTCTCAAATCAATAGTAGATATGAAACTTATGGGACAAAAACCTTTATTATTGTTTATGCATAACAATTTGTTAGATATACTTTATAGTAGGAAATAATATGAATATAGTTATAGCAATCTAGTTCCAAAACACTTTGAAAAATTGCTGTCTTAAGGTATAAATAATTACCTATAAAAATAAAATACCGGTAATCTCACGATAGTACTACATTAGAATCTGGTATTGGAGATGACTCTATCCGTTGATGAGATGTCGAGACAACCCAAGAGATTCTACCTCAAGATAATTGTTACAAAGACCTTCTTTCTTGGTTTAAATTGCCACTTTAACATCTCTCAATTTAAAAAAAATAGTATTTATTAATTGTATTCTTTAGTGAGACTTATCAAACTATACTTTGAATATGTCAAAATTTAATTTTGGAAGCTTCAGGAGCCTTTATTTTGAAAAGAGGAATTGAAAATTATCATACGTTTTTAAAAGAATCATTGAATAAATTTAATCGGTTTCTTTTGGAATCTGAAGGAACAAGAAAAAATTATGATAAATTTAGACAGTTGGCTTTAAAATAAAAGCAAACAGAATAAATATCCTTTTAGGTAAGATAATTTAAATGATCATCTTGTAATTGTAAATTCTTACACCATTTCACATAAATGATAGAATCTTTAAATTTTAATACTTCATTTTCAATTGTTGTAATAAGATTATTTTTATTATAAAAAGTAATGTCAACCAAATTTACATTAAATTTAGAATGATTCAATTCTATAGGTTATCATAATTTATATTCTCTTCATTATAGCATGGTTAATCATTTCAATCTTGAAATACTTCTCTTATTTTAATGGTTTTGTACAACCCTAAACAAACAAAAAAAAAGGGGTATTAGGAATACATTTACCTTGTTAGAAATACCTAAAAATGTTATTTCTTAAGTTAAGAATAATTTTAAAGGTTAATTTTTCAAATGGTAGTAAATTTTTCCTTAAAATGAATGAAAATTTAACATTTTCCTTTCGATTTTGGAAATTTTCAAATTCACCAATATCGGTGCGGTACCACCTGCCCGACATTAGTATGGCTGGATTTTCCTAGCCAGTACGGCCGGAGCATGGATTAAAAGGAAGTTGCTTTTTAGCGGACTTAAAACAAAAGCAAAAATGAATTTGAATATTCATTAAAAACATTACAATTATAATTTTAATCATTTTCTTAATACTTTTTGCATAATAAGTGTTTTTTGTTCCTATTTAACAATTTGGAATAATTTGAGATGTCAGAAACAACGGCTGTAATTAATATTTATAGACGTACAAACACCATTAAATTTATAATATAAACTTAGTAAACAGGTTTAGTCCTAATAATGATTACTAATAGTTTAGTATAATTTAGATTTTCAGTTCATTATAAACATAATGATATATTTAAGAACAAAGATAAGAAGAAAGATACATTTCAAAAATTAAAAAAAAATATCCTTAATCTTAGAATAATCTTAAATGAAAAAAACATTGGGATTGAATGATTTTAAAAATCACTCTGCTCTAATCTTGGTAATATTTTTGTAACCTGTTATTTATTATTTCAATTGATATTAAAAGTATTAGATAGAATAAAGGACAGAAAAGATATATTAATCATCAATAAGTATTCCAACCCCTAATAGGATTTAGAGATCTTAATTATATCCATCCCTAACAATAATCTTAAATAAGCTCTATATGAATTACATTCAAACCAAACCAAACGAGCTACTTTCAAGAATAATTTTGCATATATATAATGAACAGTTATTAATTACGAAGATAAGAACTATGTAATCTTACCTTAAGCTGATGTTTTTTTTTACAAATTAATCAATATCTACACAACGATAATTATCAGTCACACTAGTTCAATGTTATTAATTGATTATGAAATTAAAAAATTACCCAAAATTGGATTTCATATACATAATGGATAATTTAACTTTGAGTTAAACCCTATTAGACAATAAATTTTTAGAATTAATTAATTTATTGATAATAAATAAATGTATTATATTCTCTTAAAGTTTTTAACTTTATGGCATAAACAGTAAGAAAGATAGAGCACTTGTTATACTAAAAAGACTATCTTTCTATTTTAACATAAATTTCGTTATATCCATTCGATGAAGAATTATTTTAATATTCTGTTTTACAGGGTAGAAATGTTATCTTCAAATAATCGATATAAAGATAACCCTTCAACTATTTAATAGAATGATTTTCCTGAAAGTGGTATTTCTTGTCACTATTCTTAACTCTCACTTATACTAGCATTCTAAAAATTTCCTAAAACCCTTTAGAAGCTTAAGGAGCTTTAGCCTTGAAAGGATAGGTTTTCGATAATAGATGATATGATTTACAATAATTATTTAAATCTAAAGGTAGTTTTATTTTAGAGAATGATCTAAAATAGAAAGAAAATTGATTTTTTTTAAAGCCAATTAAAATATCCAATATCAATTCAATTTTATTAATTTCTTTTTAATTGTTAATGTTTACATATGTATATATTAATAAAATCTATAACTTGTAGAAAATATATTTATATCAGTCAAACGTGAGAGTCATTTTAAAAATAATATAAAACTCAAAATAATGTAATAGAAATTCAATAATATTTGTAAAAATAGGGAAATGCACCACGAAAAAGAGTAAGTAAGAGTGTTGTATGATGTTTTGTCCTTATCCAATCAGGTTGATGAAGTATTCCTCCCTATCCTCATAAACATATTAAAAAAAGAGAGAATTTAAGACTGCCTAAAATTTCTCATGCAAGATCTAAACAAATTCCTTTTAGAAATAGAAAGTTAAAAGGTAGAAAACTAATCTCTGCTTGAGAAAGAATAGACTCTTAATGGAGAGAAGAACATTAAGATAATAAAAGATGTCCTCAAAAAAGTTATGAATCATGACTTTAATACACAGAATTACTCTAAGGATGATTATGAAGAATTTAAAAAGGATCTAATCACAAAAATATCATTGAATAAGAAGATAATATAATTCCTAATTTTTTTAGTTCAACTGACTGCTTTAGATGAGACATGTATTTAGTGTGGATCAAATTCTCTTCATTTGCTAGTATAAATGAAAGTGGATTTGAGGGAATAAAGTTTTGAGAATATCAGGATAAGAAATACCTCTTTAGTTGGGGGAAATTTTGGAAGATGTATATTCAATGGATCTGAATTTGACAATGTAGATATTAGTGGAATGAACTTGAATTAAGCTTAATTGCTTAATTTTAAATGGAAAAACACAAAAATACATGAGTTAAATAAATTAGATGGTCATTGTGTAAGAGTCAATTAGGTATGCTTTTCTCCAGATGGTAAGTCATTAGCTTCTTGTAGTAAGGATAATTCGATAATATTGTGGGATGTTAAAACTGGAAAAAAAAAGCTAAAAATCTAGGGAAAAGGGGAGGTAATATCTTTATGCTTCTCAACTTCTAACAGTAGAATAACCTTTAGCAGTGGAAAAGCTATATATTTATGTAAACTTAAAACTAAAAATAAAATAACAAAATTAGATTGTCATTCAAATGAAGTTAATTCAATTTGTAACTCTCCTGATGGTACTACATTAGCATCTGGTAGTAATGATAACTCTATCCGGATATGGGATGTTAAGACAGGATAATAAAAAGCCAAATTAGATGGTCATTCAAATGGTGTTAAATCAATTTGTTACTCTCCTGATGGTACTACATTAGCATCAGGTAGTAGAGATAACTCTATTCGTTTATGGGATGTTAAGACAGGATAATAAAAAGCCAAATTAGATGGTCATTCAAGTGCAGTTAATTCAATTTGTTACTCTCCTGATGGTACTACATTAGCATCTGGTAGT